CATGACACATTGCAGCAGTAAAAGCCAGCCAATTAAATAATATTAGATGTCTCTAGGACTCTGTAAATATATAAATAAAGATAAATAATGGCTTAATGCACTGTTTATTAAGTCAATTATTCCCCATTTTCTGCTGAGAAAGAACATTTGACAATTGCGTCTAATGGAAAACTGTTACCAGGAAGAAAAAGAGGCTGTTATATTCGAGCTGTGTGGCCCTCATGAGGGCTCAATCTAGGAAATAAACATTAAACATCCAAATCAACCATTCCATCAATGCAGAAAAGAGAAAATAGCTAAATGCTCCTTGTCTGTCTTTCACATCCCTTTGCCCAGCACAGCAACCTCTAAAAATGACCTGTGAGTCTTTAGAGGGCTGATTTACATACCGGATGCTCTGGAGAGTTGATCTAATGCCAAACGAGGGCAAAGACAGGCCGCCGAGTTGGTCAGCACAGTTTAATTAGATTTTCAAAACTAATTACGGCTTCTAATTGTGGTTAAAAAGTGTGTCTGGAGAGAGACAGGATGATTGAACCCAAATAGGGAGAAAAAAGAAAACAAATACAGGTGTTCTCCACTGAGAGGCACGAGAAGGCAAGTCATTGAATGATTTGGAGACTTTACACTGTAACATTCATAATTAGGCCATCGTGCTTCAAACTTGATCTGCAGTGAATGGGAAATGGCGAGTGTTCATTTCAGCAAATCAAAGCAGCTCAGGGCTTCCAGAGGATTACTTAAAGTGTCTCCTTTCCACGGAAACAAAATGAATGAAGAGAGTCTTATTTGTAATTCATATTCGGTGGTAGAGTTTAAGGATTTTTCTTTTTTCCTTTCCTGTTATATTTTAAATTGTTACCATAAGTCTTCCCTCGACATGACTTAATGTGACAGATCATCAATAACCGCGTTGCGTGATCGAGGAAAAAGACCTTTGCATTACATTTTAATTCCTCCTGTGTTGTGTCATTTTCAGAAAGGAGAGAGAGGAGGGCGCTCAGGACTCCTTTCTCAATATTTAACTGACCCTCCAGGGACACGGCAGCTGAAACTTTGACTTATCCATTTAAACAGAGCCGGCTTCTGCTGGTGTCCTCTGGCAGCCCCTCCGAGGAAATGCTTTTTCATTCTGGAGCACACCTTTCTTGGAGTTCAAATCAATAATTCTGAGATGTTCATTGATATGAAGTTCAAAATCATTTTTATCCTATTGAGAATAAGCAGCAGGATGAATGATTTCCAAGATGAAATTCTCCTTCGGTGCTTCTAAAACCCTATTCGGGATTCGTTTTCTGGATATATGTCTCTAAAGCAACTGTCTGTAATATTTAGTGTTAATTCATACAGGATAAGTAATGTCTGTAAAAATCTCAGAGATGGACTGTGCCCAGGGGCACTGCAAATATTATATATTTTTTAGATATCTTAAATTCCACTTTTTGGGGAGATAATAATTATATTTTAAGAGCTTTGCTGCTGTGCCAAGAAAGAAAATTGCAGCAATTTTGAAGACTTTTAGACCAAGCAGAAACCTCTATAAACGGTCATTTACTATGGCTAATGGTCACTTACCTGCTATTTAGCAAGGACAAACAGGACAAATATTAAAGTCACCTAATTAATATTCATAAGCCAAGCTTATAAGATTTATAATAAGTTAGAATGAGTCCATTTCACATCATTCCTAAACCCCTAGTTGTGCTTACTGCTTTTACGCTTTGACATCACACATAACTGACCTATCACAAAATGTTTTTCACTGTGTGTACTAAGTATGCAGGAAATATTAAACATGAGCATATATTTCCGGTTAACTGGCAAAACAATTATTCGCATTTCAGACAAAATGTAGCCAAACAGCAATTGTATATTGTACTCACACATTTAAAAGTTGGGTATATTTGCTATTTTTCTTGTTCTTATTCTTTTTGTTGTTAGGAAAAAAAATTCCCTCCATCACTTTGTTTCAATCCTAAAACGACATGCTTGTGTACTCTTTGCACTTTGCTAAACAGAAAGAACACAATCCTTTCTATCTCTTTCACATGAGTAACAAATGTCAAATGCATTAAGGAACCATATGAAATTCATTTGAAAGGTTTTTTCCTAATTTTCTTAAATAAATGTTTTCGGTTTAAGGTTGTAGCATCATTTTTACAAATGTTTTTTATACAAAATCATCACGGCTACTTCGTCATTTTAATCATGCAGAATTGCCTTGTGATTCACACATTCACAGCTACAAGCAGTCATGTGACTTGAAGAAATAACTCAAGAAACTCAAAACGTGGCTCTAGCACTAATTGGATGAACAAAGCTTTCCAGGGCTGCACATACTGCTTGCAGAACAGGAACAAAGTGTTGGAACTTGCAAATGACTCTCTGAGGATTGCTCCTTTGTTTGCTTCTTACTGGGATTACAGCCCATGAACAAGGCCGTATCCAGGCCACAACTGACAGGCGCACGTCTGCCTATTACGCTCCTGTGGTGTGGCCATGTTGAGTAATTGCTGGGTTTCTGGTCAACGCTTCAAGAAACATATGTTCCACTCCGCACTGTGAGACTCCTTGCAGGAGGCTAGTAGTCTCCCGCCATGTATAACGAGTCTTTTTGACAAAGGGTCTTGGAGGAATCCACAGTGACCTACAGCGGAAATAATAGGACATAATTCTAAATGTTTTTTTTTTTCAAGCCAACATATTTCAAAGCTTCAAAATCTTCAGTACTTCCACGATAGCCCTTTCTCTGTTTATGTCCTGGAGTTAAATCCAATTAAGCCGGGTAATTCTTGGCAGACGCTGGACAAGTTAAAAAAGTTTTGTAATAATTTAGCAAAACTGCTGCGCTTTGTTGTCCTCTCTTTCATTTCTGGCCTTGGCTAATGAACCCAGACCCAGACCCTCCCTAAAACAGATAAATTTCTGCACTTTCCTCTCCCTGTCTAAAGACAAAAGGCATGACCAATCATTATCCCTGTAAAAGTGTCTCCGTGGGACAATAACGGCACCGGGGTCTACGGCAGTGCGCTTTCATGCTGATTATGAAAAGTGAGCTGTAAATATTTTAAATTCTCAGCATCCCCGGTACTTTATTCAACCTTTCAGCTTCATAAGGTTACAGCTAATTTGCAAGCCATAAAAACACATTTGGCAGATTTAACAGGGACGGGAGAGGCACTGATGGCATTGTCTGGGCCCCGTGTTCCTTTGAGGAAGAGTTATTATTCCCATTAAGCCTGGCAGAACGATGAGGCCAGAAATTCGCCACTGGTATGCTCCCATTGATCGTGGGCAGGAGAATGAGCTGCTAATGCATTTAGAGAAATAAGATCTGTTAACACCACAGACGTTCAGCATTACAAGCTTGGAGAGAAATCCTTTTCGACGGAGGGAATATGTGCGGTATTTCTTCACAAGTTGCTGATTCCATTCTGGTTTTAAAGGATAATTTCAGCATAACGTGGCATAAAACTGGGATATCTTGAGGAACAGGAACATACTGATGCCGGATAAACTTTAATCTTGTATCAAAGACAACAAAATCCCATGTTTAGTCCAAGTTATCCTCAAATTTAACCAAGTAAGCCACTTTGAAGAATGGAACCGTGAGAAACAATGATACAACACAAGCACAGCCTTTCTGTTTTCGTGTACAAACTTCCCTTAAAGTTGCACCAACAGGGCTGCACCCCTCACAGGTCACACGGAACTAGGTAGACATTCAAACGACCTTATGGAGAGTCCATGGGGAGTGTGAAATTTTTTTTGATACACCTTATAAATCACACTGTCTATATTTAGCTGAAACATTCATAAACAAGAAACAAAACAGACCCTGATACCCCTGAGACTGGACGTTCACTGCAAGGGTCTAAAGAACGCTTATGTCACATGGTACAGGTATGCCTACAGGCTTGGCGTCAAGGCACTTAACCGATGGGGACTGTTGTTCAGACCCTCTAAAGATGCACAAACTCCAGGAGAGAATATAGTTAAGGTTAACCAAGTTGAATCTAATACAGATTGCCATGTACTGACCCCCAAAAGTTGTCCCAAACCCATATGCTGTCTGATGTTATGATATATGGCATGCAAGTGAAAACTGCCTTGGATGCACAATTGGTTTGAGTCATAGCTTCAGCGGAAGGGAAATTATGTAAAAAGCGATTTTTTTGAGGTTGTAAAACAAAGATCATTAGAGTACGTTTTACAAGGAAATACTGTTTTAGTGTTTCTACTTCAAAATTTCACAGTACATGCCATTTCTTTGTAATTATTTGTGAAACTTAGTTTAACGAGTTAATTTGCCCATATAATCTTAAGGGAATTGTGTGTAAACTTATTTGGCTTGCTGTCCACTGATGAGGGGCTCGATGAAGCAGCTTCAACTCGAGCTCTGATATACCCCCAGGGACTTGATATAGGATGATTACGAAGGGCAAGGTACCTAAGATGAAGGTGGAGTTTTGGGGAGGTGGAGGGATGCTGGAACAGCTGAGACTGGAGAGAGGTAAGCAGCTGCTTATATACTCTGGCTGTTGATTGAAAGATTAGATGGGCTCACTCCTCCCTAACTTACGTTAAGGAACTTCATATCAATTTTTGAGTGAAAATTGTTTTTGTTTTCTAATGGAAAGAAAATAATAGCATGCTGGTTTGAAATGACAAAAGTCTGAGTAAACAATTAAAATTTAAATTTTTTGTTGATTCATACCTTTAATAAGATGGGTTTAATGACACACAAAGGGCTCAAATTGTCACATCTGAGATGCTAGAAATCATGGTTAGAACAAATTGATGATGGAAGGAAGAGATAGGAACTTAACGAGGACACACAAAGGTGCAGAGTGACTGTTGAGTACAAAAACACTCCAGATGTCCTTGGAGCTGCAGACTTCAGTCAGAGTAAACTGGCTTGGGGAAAAGAAAGAGAGGTATAGGGATGTGTGAGGGAGACCAGGTGGAAAAAGAGGAAGGGCAGTGGGGTTGTACAGTACCTCTGTTACCGGTGACAGCAGAATTGAGATGCTTGGAGTCTAAGGGACCTGTAGTGTCTGGGAGGGTGGGTGCAGGGGAAGTTGTGGATGGTGACGATGTGGTGGGGGCATCTGTTGTACGTGACAAACAACAATGACAACAAACATGTAAACAAAAAAAGGACGGATAAAAGACAAAACAATAATGACAAGGGGAAGAAAACATTCCTATAACAATCGAACAAATGCAACACAATAGTTGTCATGCTGACAGAATGCAAATTAAAACTGAATGGGTTTAATTTAACAATGCACACATGAATAAATTATTAAAATAAACGACATGTACAGTACAGCTGACATTCCAGAAATGTATGCTTTTCTTTATGATGTTTATGGATAATGGGTTTGGTGTGTGTATAATATATCAAACCATTCACGACGGTAGCAAAGTGACAGTTTTGTTCACAAAATGGTAGGAAAAAGCAAGCCGCATACAGGGAGAAAAGCATCAATATTTGATGAACTATCAAAAGCGGTCTGCACAGCCGACATGCTGGAGAACATGTGAACAATCACCATTAACAAGCCTTTTGTTCCTGATCGTATATTTTTATATCAGGGCAGTTCAGAGCTCAATGTCAGTGCATCTTTAAAAATATAATTGAGCTAATCATTTGGTGTTTTCTTTGACAGGAGGTCAAAAGACGTATGCCCAGTTAACATGCCATTATCATGCTTTTTTATAGTATTTAGTTTTACACTTGTAATGGTTAACCCTTACTAGATGGGTAAAATTAATTAGGGTAGGGTGACAGACCAGATCAAAACTGTTCAAAATATTAATAAATACTGCACAGACAGCTCAAATGCCAACTGCTACACATTGTTATATTGTATAATAAATTGTTTATGTTATATTTTAAATATTACATAAATTTATGCTGATAATGAAAAAGCATTAACATATTTGTCGAATGGAGTCAGGATCCATCCCTGAATGTTGTTTCATTGTGTAGATGGGGCCAAGCTAAAATGTTCTTACGCAAAAGCAAAGTTCATACCAATCTATTTTAATTTCATACAATTTCAAGGTGCAGTTTAAATTGAGTGATTTATGCTTTTAAAAACAGCAGGTATCATTCAAGCCTCTTGAACGTGATTCTGGTTCCACAATCAGCTTAATGCTGGCAGCCGCTTTGCATGCATAAAGCATGTTTAGCTCAATGATAAGGACACGAGAGGAGAGTTGGGCTCAAGTTGATAAGCTAAATCACCAGTCTGGCTTCGTACTAATGGACTCAAGCAGACAAGCAGAGTAATCCAACTGATAGCTCAAAATTGCACAGCAGCTACCAACTCTGGCTAACTAGAAATTAGACAGACAGCAGTTTGCGGCTAGATGTTTAAATCCTCTGAGGAATGAAAATGTGAGTGGTTCCTGACCATGCTAAACTTGGGCATTGCTAGGCGGTTACTAAGGTATTTTGAGTATTTTTTAGTGTGTTAGGGGTTTCCTTATTGACTTTGTTTCAAGCGGTTTTATTGTCCAATCATGTTGAAAAGTAATAGCAAACCATATAATTTCATGTATCATTCACATTTTTAGCACAAACAATGCAGGATGAATTACACATACTGCATTGGCATAGTTTAATACTTTTAGTATTAAAAAGGGTTTGTTGATATTCCTAGGGTTATGAATTTCAACAAATGCTCTGAGTAACAGCAATAGTCATAGTGTTTGTCTTATCAAACACCACTACTGATGCCTAGAGCCTTGGGAGTTTTTAAAAAAAAGGATCAAATGGGATATATTTTGGGTTTCCAAAGTACATTATTCATAATGCATTTAGTATTGAATGAATAAAATATTTATTTTTTGAAAGTTATTTAGCACATAACAGAAGATTCCTGCCCAGGGATATGAAGAAACACTTCAACCAACCAGAAAAATGTGCCAAGACCTTTATTGTCATTATTGTTCTAATAATAAAATCCTGTGTGAAAGCAGTTGATAATTTTCTAAAGAGCAAGTCATTTTGCACAAGATTTTACTATTATAATGATAATTTCTTTGCAGGTGGCAGGGTTGTAAGCATTTCTCTGTATGGTGGAAGTGTTTGAGTAATGTTGTGGATGTTAACATTTATATATATATATATATATATATATATACAAGATTACTATGCAGAGAATACAAATAAGCCATTCATTGGCTGATTTCTCCAAAAAGTACAGTTTCACAACTATAGCTATCACAACATTGCTGTTTTTGTTTGATCATCCAGCCAGCTCAGCACAGCAACACTAACTCAACCAATAGAGTGAGTGTGTTATCGGTGTGACCAACCAATGATAGACAGCGAAGGTGTTTGGGAAACTTTTAAAAACATAAAAGTTTAACAGAAATTGTTCTCATTTTAAAGTGCAGCTTATGGAACTAGAACTAGACAAGATCATGAGATTTTGCCTTTGATTTGCGTTTGGGGATTCAGAGATTTATTAAAGTGTTCAAACCTGTTCAAACAGTCTAGATACTATTGGCTAATATCTAATACTAATATCTTATTTAAATGTCATGGCCCAATTTTAATTAAGGGTGAGATTTGAATAATAATATTGACTATACTTCTCACTCAAGTACCCCACTGACATGGCAGCCCTCTGCCTAGAATATAAAGTGATCGGCTGCATATTGAACAGATAATATTGCGTTTTCAATTGGAACAATACAAGGTGATCTGATGAAGGACAGTGACCATTATACTGCTCCAGGTTTTGCGCTAATCACTGTTGGAAGGACAGCATTATGTTTTGCCATTTAAAAAGACAGTAATGAATTCAGACATGGTGCTTTATATTTGTGACACCCAATTAGCTTTTTATTCCTACAGAGAAGGTGTCAGTTTTATAGTATCAACATCATTAAGAGCTTTGGTTCTCCTTGTTGTTATAGTGTCCTGACATTTCAATGAGCCACTGGCTGGACCCCTACACTGCACCATAACGGCTAATTAAATCTTCTTAAGACGCCCTGTGGGAGGATACAAAAGCCGAGATAGAAGGAGAAAGTGAGAGAAAAGAAACTTCTCGAACTGAGAGGTGGAGGAAGAGTTTTCCAGCCTGGAGGGGTTTAGTGTCAAGAAGGCAGAGGCACAAGAAGCAGGGGGGCTGGAGAGACTCTTCCGCTCGATGCCCACAGTCATATCCATTCTTAGCCTGTGAGCGTATCCGCACAGCTGCCTCTGATGAAAGTGATGGCAGATGTGGATGCAGTGTAGCCTCTGAACCTCAGGGTGTATCGAGACCCATCATGCTTTGCTGTTATGCTAAGTGGGTGAAACTCATTCTCTTAAACCAAGTCGGAGAAGGACAGAAAAGTGGGTTGCTGCATATGTACACATTGTTTGTGCAGGATTTATGATGAAGAGTTGATCATATGCCTTTGGAAAATTGTCACTAAATTAAAGGAATATTTCAGGCTGTTAAAATTCTGTCATCATTTATTTATAAGTGCATATGATGTTCTTTTTTCTGTGCAATATAGAAGAATGCTAACTTCTGCCAATATTAGGAATTAAATTAAATTAATCCATAACTTGTATGAAGTCTACTGATACAGTATGATTACTTTGTGTGATGAACGGATTGAAATTGAATACTTTATTCACTCTCAAATCAAACCAAAAGACTGGTCAATTCGCTCATAGAAAGGCTTAAACAAATATGCTGTGCAAAATAAAGCTTGAAAGTTTGGGTTTTCATCGATTTTTTCAGAATACACACAAAAACAGCTGACATTGCTGAAAATATTTTCTTTTGTGCTTTACAAAATAAATGAAGTCATACACGTTTGTAAAAACATGAGGGTGAGTAAAGGATGACATAATTTCCCCTTTTGGCTGAATTAATCATTTAAACTAGATCTTTTGGATTCTTCAGGCCAGCAATCATTTCAAGGCATTTCATCTTTCAATGGCTTTAAAAAAACATGACGGTTATAAGCAGGGTTGAAACCTAGGTTTAATTAGCGACGCAGATGCTTTCCAAGAGAGCAGCAAGAAGTGTGTTAGCTTTAAGAGACATGTTAATGTTATCTGTCTGTCACTCACCTTTAACAACCAGCTTATATTCAGCATGGCTGGTGCCAAGGTGATTGGTAGCTTCACAGCGGTAGGTGCCATTGTCTGTTTTGTTCAGTGCCATGAAGGTGAGCTCTCTTCCTTCAACAATCACCCGCTCCAGGTCTGGCAGCTCTCCTCCGTCTTTAGTCCAGAGTACTGGGTCTGGCCTGATGAAAAATTGATTTTTAGCTTCTAATTAAAAACATAATTCAGTTTCTTTTCAATGATGGGACACTCGCCTAAAAAGGTCATATCACATACTTTTTAAAATAATTAGATTGTATTTATTTATTTTTATTATCTTTATTTCGTTTTTAAATATTCCATTCTTCAGTAACAATCTTTGGCGCATTTGGCACAAGGATGTGCAGAGCTGTAGGTGCTACAAACAGCCTGTAACAACACAAGGTTTGGCAACCTTGGTTTTGCTTCATCATTATTACATCACTGTGACTGGGTAGACTGAGTATATGTACCCCGAACAGGCATTGTTGACATGGATATGAGTGATAATATGTTTGCATGAATTCAGATGTATTAATATATTGGAATATTATGGAAATACAGAGTAAGCCATTTTTGCAGCTTAACTGGCCACAAACTTTTACAGTGAAAAGTTCTGAAGGGTTGGAGTTCTGAAAGTTACAGTGTTTTCCTAGTACAATGGAGACTTTTCACGAAAGATTGCCTTTCCTTAATCTCAAACGATCAAGGAAAATTGGATTCCTTATGATATGACCCCTTTAATTCTAATATCAATGGAAAGACAACATCACAAAGTTACAGCAAAGGCTTTGAAAATGCAAAATTCACTGAAAGAGTTTTAAAGTTTTTAATTTTGGCTTAAAACTAAGCAATTTTGATTATCCAAGTTTATCAAAGATTTCTCAGCCTTTTTCTTTGGGAATATTAGAAAACACTGGCCTTATTTTAGCTATAGTTGTACCAATGGCTAAGAGCTTCTTAATGTTGTTTTCCGTGTGAATTTATGGTTATATATTCATAGCTGTTTAATTTCAACAGAATCACGTTTATGAGTCATCACATTAATGCAAGCATGTGGTTATAAGCCGCTAGCCGCAGGCCTGCCCACAGGGCAATTTCTCCTTGGTGCAACTTTCCAAAGCTCTTTGCAAACATTATAATTCAGCGAGATGCTGATAAATTGTGGATGCTTACGAGGGGTTTCCATGAGGTACACATTCCAGTTTGAGGTACTGTCCCTCCAGTGTGGCTGGTATGGAGTGTTTGATCTCTACATAGGGAGCATCTATGACAGAGACAGAGATGAACAAAGAACTATTGTTTCAGACAGCAGCATCCAAGCGGAGGAATGACACTCGATGGAGATCAAAAGGTAAATTATGTGATGTGTTGCTCAGGCCCAAATACTCCACTGCATCTCAGTAGATTGATTAAATGTCAACACTTCAAAGAGAAACTCTAACGCGCAAATTATTTTTGTCTGTAATTATTGCATAACCTTTGCATCACAACACCATATTTCAGAATTAAAAGTTGCCAAAATTACTTTTCATAGTAATTTTAATAAGTCATTGAAAACTCAATAAAACCAAAAATTACGTCTAGCTTTTAGCTTCATTTTGATCAGTTTCTTAAAAAACAGCTCAACTCATTACTTAGTAAAATACTTCAAGCTGTTTCACATTTGTAGATTTAGGTTTATAGTAAGCAATATAGTTTTCACCATTGTGGGATGTTGGTTTGAGTCGTACTCACAGTGGACTTCTAAAACCTGTGTTGTCTCTTCATGGGTGGCAGTTAGGGCCACGTGGTCCACTCTACAAGTGTAGGCCATACCGTCATCATGCCGGTTCACCTGGAGCTGCAGGGAACTCTTCACTGTGAAGGTCTTGCCGCTGGCATTCACCTCTTTGGCACCTAAAAGAGGCAATAAGAACAGCATAACAAAGATGAAACATGTTTGTCATGTGTTTCAGAGTTTCACATAAATTACAGTCAGAGTTACAGTGAGAACTTGAAGTATTGTGAAACACAGGGGTTCAGAAAGATGCACCACTCTTTTTTAAGACTTTACCTTTCAATAGAAAACTTTAGTTGTGTGAAGACAGAGTTGAGTTGCATTCATTATTTCCACCCACTGACGCACATCACTGTGTTTGGAATGCTCTTGAATCCTGCCTCTATCTTTCCTCACATCCAAAACTGGATAAAACTGGTAAAAGTAAAACTTGAAATCTTATCTGACTCTCTCAAAGTCAAAAATATTGATCCAGTTCTTGTTTTTTTGCATTTAACTGAGCTGAATTCACATGGCAAATGAAGCACAAGTTACTTTTTGTAATTGCGGCAGGTTCATTTCATCAGTTTACAAAGTAAATCCTCACTGAATGTTAATTTAGCCTACATTTTCTTCTATAGAATTAGGGTTGATGTATAGCGTTGCACATGAGCCATTTATCAGAGTAAAACAGCTCTCCTTACTCCTCTCTGAAAACTCCATTAGTTGAACAACAGATTGTGTTTTGTTTTGTTTGTTTCAATGTGTTAATGGCTTCTGCGTTTACAGGCGTTTATTCTGCACACACCGCTGTCTAGTAGCACTTACAATACAAATTAATCCACTGCATCTCAATGATCTTAACAAATACTACAATTTCTCATAAAAATATTATTATTGAATCTTTAAGAGTGTAAATTACTATTTTACTTTTATCAAACCGTTGTTGAAACAAATGTGAGGACAACACAAAAACATAATTTTATCCAACAGCAGAATGTAAATGAGAACGTAAAATCCAGCACACTCTTTACATCGAATCGCCATATTAAACACTCTTAGAAGAAACAGTTCTATCGAATTTAAAAGGGCTCTATAACTCGCATACAATTTGGAACCTTTAGAAGTTTCCATATGCAGTCAAAGATCTACATAGAATCTTTCAAAACACATTTTAGGGATGTTTTCTATACACCAGGATGCATGAACTACCTCATTTACATCATAATTTAATTTACTTTAAAATCTTTAAAATGTAATTTCAACTGTGTGGTTCCTGAAACACAAAGGAAAAAAGGAATAAATTAGTGCACCATGCAAATCATGTTTTGTTGATTGAGTTTGTAGATTCAATGATAGAATCACAAACGACTTCACTCCTTCCAAAACCTTCAGACTCAGGTCCAATTGTAAGGTACGAATCCACACAGTTTTCGCCTATATGAATCATTTTATTCTTTCTCTCTTTCCATTTGCTCCCCCTCACTTTCTCTGCTCCCTGAATCACTCCTGCTATCACTGCCAAGCTGTCAGTCAGCTTCCTCTGGGGGTGTCGCCACCCGCTCAGGAGCATTTGAGCATGCAGAAGATATCATTTAGAAACCTGAACACACACACGCACTCACACATATATACATGCAGAGAGGAAGGTACAGTTCTATGGCATTCTTCCTCTTGGGATGCTTATGGGATGCAGTCAAGAGGTTGGGGGTAAATTTTTATTCCGGATATACAACAAACAAACAGACTGTTAGTCTGTTCACAAGAGCGTTCAGATGAAGAACACTTTGTATGGCTGCGAACGGAGCGAGAAAACTTTCATTTGAGAGTAGACAAACACTCTCAGCAATTAGTTGTGGAAGTGGGAAGTCTGTTCCACCCCATGGTTAGATCCTGTGAAGATTCCCAGCATGCCTTAGAAGTTTCTTTAGATCAACTCCAGCGCACGATACCATTGGAACAACTCAGTAGCAAGTGGTGGTCTTCTGAAAAATGAAGAGGAATAGTCCCTTTGCTGTGTTTGGGATTTTTAGTAAATTCACCTTCCTGTTATTTTTAATAATTATGCTGTTTCCTAGTTGAAAGCTTATGGGACCCCATTTTCTTTAAACTATCATCAAGCAAACAATATTATAACAGTCTAGTTTGATCAGTATAATTCAATTTAAAGTACTTTACTGGCATGACTGTGTTTATAAAATCTGATATTTTTTTATATTAATTTTTGTAAATCTTTTTTTAACCTATTATTAATAGTCACTTTATTTTTATTAACAGGCAAGCATAACTGGCACATAGGTGCACCTTAAATTTACCTGAGCTGCTTGTTCGCTAAAAATATCTCCCTCACAGTTTCCAGTTTAGGGTTATTATTTTATTCATTTCCACCATTTTGACCCATTTCGATTTGCAGACCAATTGTGAAAATGATAGACAGACATTATTGCATTGACAGGGTAATCACCCAATCACACACCTTCTCTCACGTGACTTTTCCCCTTAATTTTGCCATCCCCCCTCACACTCATGCAACACTTTAGGATCTCAACGAAATGAGAACATCATCTGCTTTCTACTGATTTGATTGCCTAAATCTATTATGCCCATTCCCCTACATCGTCTATTTATTCATCTACTCATCCATTCATTCAACAATCCTTCCATCCTGGAGAAAAAAAACAGCATAACGAGGGTTCAGCAATGTCTACTTCTATTGTCCCTCTCAGTAAGTTAGTGAGTGGGTGAGAGGGGAGAGATTTGCCAGCAGACAGAATTGAAATTAAGGTCAGCATGTTTTACATTAATATTTATGAAAGCAAACCAGTAATAGAAACATCATCACAGACACACACTCACCAGTGTGCACACACACACAAGCTCTCATTTAATGCACACAACAACGTTAAAACTGTATCTAATCTTCATTACACACACATCAGCACGTGTAATTACATACATTACACATACATTCATACATAGTTGGATGCAATATAACGTGACTCAATTTAATGTGAAATATTGCTAATTTTCGGATTTAAGGCTGAGTGTTGCTCTCCTTCTGGAACCGGAATGCTTTCCTGGAACTCTGAGATAGCTACGGCATATGGTGAGCCCAGAGAGCAGCCGAGAACAGGAAAGAATAAAACGTGGGGTGAGATTAGCATTTCATTTCAGCTGTGAGCAGTTCTGAATTCAAATGCTGTTTTCCACCTAAAAGGAGGTATTTAGAACAACAGGAGGCACAAAGGTGTGCAGCTCATCTCCGCCGCCTCTACCCCATTTTGCAAGCCCATTAGCGAGAGCGCAAGAGGGATATAAAAATAAAGAATGAAAAACATAGAGAAAGAGGGGGAGAGAGAGCAAAAGCATTCTTTATCCGATCACCGTGAACTACTCTCAGGCTAAACACAGTGGTCACTCCTAGTGGATGGAGGGATATTTATGTGTGTATTTGACTGAAGTTGGCTGTCGGCTGTGTGTTTGCATGGGTAGAGCTTAAATTCAAGGCAGTGGTTTTGAATTTCCTCACAAAAATTGTCAGTTTGTGTTTATTTATGCGGCATAATCTTCTGCCTGTGGTGAGAGACTCAGGAGTTTCTCCACACGTGAGAGGAGCTCTGCAGCGAGCGACTGAATGCCCATCTCATCTATCTACCGCTAATCCTAATGTCCCAGAGACATGAGAAACGATAACGACAACATTATTTCAACAAACACCCCCCAATCCCCAAGCAGGATCACTATAAATATCAGTTACTCATACTGCACGGCCCTCTGCCATGGCTCACTGTTCAAATATCTTTCATAAATGGTCAGTGTGGGTGTCAATGTAAAAGCACCTTCTGGTGCCGTGCAATTTTATCTCTCTAATCCACACAAACAATCTCCCTGCTGGCAGTTCTTTCACTAGGGTCAAATACGCTAGACTGAGATGGGATTTGTTGATGCGATTGTCTGAGCCTGGTTGGAATTAATGATTGTGTTCTTACATACACACACACACACAAACACACACATTTTCTGACTGCTAATGTGTGATGATATCACCTCCTCTAGGACGCAACTGCACATTCACAGGATAAGCCGTTTTATCAGTGTTACTATGGACTCGCCACAGGTGGCAGAGACACACTGGTAGGCACAAGCCACGGCCACACCAGGTTTTGGCCCGCCCACAATAACCTGTTAACAGCTTGGGGTGTGTTTCCCAAATCCATTGTTATCCAACTGTTGTCGCCATTCTGTTGTTACTGAAAGTTCGATGATTCTGCGGTTTCCGAAACCATACTTTCAAAGAATATTGCAAACAGCATCGCAAATTTGTGTGGTTGGAGCTACAGCTCTTGACTTGGAGTGTCGTTTCTGGAAAGAATCGTTAGCCAACTGTGGTCAAAATTCTGATGTTACTAACATAGTTCAACGATTCTGCATTTCTCAAAACCATAGTATCGAAGAATATTTGCACACAGCATTGCAAATTTGTGTGGTTGGAACTACAGCTCTCATCTTGGGGTGTGTTTCCCAAAAGCATTGTTAGCCAACTATGGTTGCAAGTTCCTTCATTACTAACATAGTTCAACGAATAAGTGCTTTCTGAAACCATAGTTCCCAAAAACATTTGCAAACTTGTGTGTTTGGAACTATAGCTCTCGACTTGGAGTGTTGTTTCCCAAAAGCATTGTTAGCCAACTATGGTCAAAATTCTGACATTACTAACATAGTTCAACGATTTTCCATTTCCCGAAACCATATTTTCAAAAAATATTTGCAAACAGCATTGCTGACTTGTGTGGTTGGAACTACAGCTGTGTGTTTCCTAAAAGCATTCGTAAACAGCATTACAAAGCTGTGTAGCTCTTGATGTGAGGTGCATTTCCAAAAAGCATTGTTAGCCAACTATAGTCGCAAGTTAGTAACGTTAGTTCAATGATTCTGTTTCCTGAAACTATAGTTCCAAAGAACATTCACAAACTTGTGTGTTGGAAATGCAGCTCTTGACTTGGAGTGTTGATTCTCAAATACATTGTTAGCCAACTATGGTCGAAATTCTGATGTTACTAACATAGTTCAATGATTCTGTGTTTCCTGAAACTATAGTTCTAATGACGAAGGTGTGACCATGTTATTACGGTTTCGAGAA